GTGGCGTAAACAGAGAGGTGGCCAACCCATGACCTGGCAGAGGAGTATGAAGGAGATCACGAAACGCTTGGGTGCTGTCGGTGCTACTCGCCTTCCAGGATGGGGACCGCGTGATCCTCACTGTGCCTGGTTGGAGACACTACAAGATATGGCTGCCAACCGATGTCAGTGGCGTTCTTGTTGTCAGTTTCTGTCCAGATTGCCTGAATGAATGTCTGGAGGTGTAGGCACCTCGGAATGATTGTGTTAAGCTAGCTCTAAGTCCCTCCCCCATCCACCTTTATTCTTTTCTTTACAATAAGGCTTTCAAATAAGTCATGGCTGTACGGCAGTGAAGCATTGGTGTTGAGCACTGATGTCATGCTGTCGTTGATGATGATGATGATGATGCGTGGTGTTGTGCTAGTAGCGGGGCACAATAAGGAGCAAACATTGCAAAGCACCTAGAAACACGCATTCCCGTTCAGTAACGTCCCGTTGTTGGGTCTTCAATGCCAGAGTGACAGACTTCCAAATAGTACCGTTAAGCTGTTCAACTTGTCAGTTACCACGTGGATTGTATGGGGTAGTTCGACTGGTTGCCATACCCCTATCGCGAAGGAACATTTATACACCACCTGACATGAAACCTGCACCACGATCAGAATGGACGTATGAGAACAACGAAAAAAAAATTCAGCTGTAACACCCTTCCGGCGCCTAGCTCCCATGCCACACGGAGGAGGTACGAGGGCTAGGATACTGCCAGGTTGCCCAAGCCTAGGCAGGGGAAGTCGAGAGGCATAGGTCGGGTTCGAACCACGGACCTTCCGGTCAGTGATTCGCACTCTAACCACTTGGTCCAACCCACCCAATTCCGAACAAAGAGAACAACTGATCATAACACTTGATCACGGTGGATGAGGGGTATTTTCCGCAACTCTACAGGATGCCGGGTGCTCTGCTTGTCGAATGGCGCAATCGAACAAACCTAACTAAAAGATCTGGAGCAATAGTAAAATTTCCTTGAAAACCTGATATGTTCAACAGATGCCACGACGGATTTTATACAGAAAACAATTCCGTCTTGGTTCAAGGAAGCGTTTGGTCGGACTCCGGGAAACCAAGAAATTCGACGTGAGATGGACGACGTGCAACGAAGTTGCACTAGTTTTTTTCGGCAGCCACTTTTGGTCGACCGTGGACAGCGATGAAAAGCGTAGCTTGCCAAACTCGGATACCGATGGCCACCGGTGGCGTTTATTGGGTCGCTGGGCTAAACCCGTCCAAGAAAAACGCAGCTGTCCACCTGCAGTTTCTCACCCAGATCACCGAATAAGAATATATCCCCGTACAGCTGACCGACGGCTTCGGAAATAAACGAATATTTTTCTCCCACACGCGTCACCGAGATACTGCCCTGACCAACTCCCATCCGATCCACCTAAAGGTGAAATCCACAGTGGTTGATTGTCTAATTTATTCGCCTCTATATGGGCGAAAGGCTCATCCCAGCTAACTGGGGTGTACCGATAACCAGTGATTATCAGCTCCGGGAAGGACCATCCATCAAACGGACCTCAAGTCAACAAGCTCACTGCCACAGGGACAGAGCGATAAATGACATCAGCAAATAGAGCCAATGCAAGTGAAATCCAAGCTGCAGTTAGATGCGTCCTCTAGATGAAGGGGAATATAAGCGGGCCTCTAGGATAGCCGAGCGTCAGTTCGATTCGACGGGCGCGTCGCTACGGCACAAAAGCTGTGTCCTTATTGGTCAGAATGTGGATTCACGGATTCGCGGGTTGATACACAGGATCGAGGCTTTTGCCCAAGTTCCCCAGGTCGGTTTGGTTCTTGTCGGTCAGTGGCTGTCGTTCACTTAAAAAGTACAAGTGAAAAAAGTGTGTAGCACTGCTCCTTATGTTCTCAGCGCGGAGCAGTATGCTTGCCACCGAGAGGATTCGTATAAATGAATGTCCAATGGTGCTTTGAACTGGGTTTTAGAAGGAGTATGAACAACCATCAGAGCAACGTCATTCCACGCACCTACCACCCGAAATGGGGAGAATTTTGTCTAATGAATGTGTGTGCCCTGAGATTGAAAATTTTCTTACTATGTCCCCGCCTTGTGTTTGCTGGGTTAATGGTAAAATCCTGTTTGCCAAGGTTTGTTCAAACAGGGTATAAGTAAGAATTAGGTCACCCTGGAGGCGACGGTACCACAGGGGAAAGAGATCAAGCATCGCGAGGCGCGTTTCGTAGTTTACGGATTTGAGGCCGGCAACCATTCTCGTGGCGGCTCGCTGGACACGCTCATTAAAGGTGACGTATTTCGTGCGTCCTGAGTAGACAACCTGGTTGGCGCATTCGACGAGTGGTCTGACGTAGGCCCCATAGATTATTTGGAAGTCCATGCGAATAATACTGGAGAAGGTGCGTCGGTTCATTCGTAAAATGCCGAATGCCTTTTGGGCCGATTTCTCATTGTGCAGTGAGAAGGCCAAGTTTGAGAAGAGACCCAGGTGCCCACATCCTCTCGGCACATATCCTCATGACGTTTTCTGGTCTTTTCTCATCATGCATGACAAAAGCATTCCCTGAGTCCCCTCCAAATGACACAAGGGCGCATCTTTCGTCATTCAGAGGAAGGTGCCAGTCCAACGACCGTTGCTTTGCCGCGTTTACATCAATTTGGAGGGCATTGGCATTGGGACTCCAGGATTTCAAGTCGTCCGTAAAAAGTAGACATGGACTCGCCAGAACGTCTGGAAGGTCGTTCACGTAGGTCTGAAACAGGAGTGGTCCCAAGACGGAGCCTTGTGGAACTCCAATGGGGACCGGCGCTAGAGAAGAGTAGGTCGAGCCTATTCTCACTCGGAATGATGTCTGATAGGAACGCCTTGACCCAGCGAAGGATTTTTCTTTGAATCTCGTAGGGCTCCAGTTTGTGGAGCAGCGGAACGTGTGAGACCCCATCAAATGCTTTTGAGAAGTAAAAAATATGGCATCCGATATGAGTTCTTCGTCCTTGGCTTCGGTTAAGCTGTCCATAAACACGGGCATGTTTGTCACGCAAGAACAGTTTGGGAGAAATCCTTGTTTAGCTGGAGATATCAGGTTGGTGGAAGTAAGGTGATCTGGGATAGCTCGCTTCAGAATACGTTCTATCACCTTGCACGGTACGCTAATGAGGATTATAGGCCTTTACAGGAGATAGGCGGTCAACAGTTCTGTAGATTGGCGTGACAATCGCTTTCTTCCAAGCAGAGGGAAGGCGGCCTTCGTCAAGCGACTGACGAAACACCAGGTATAAACGATTTGCCAGTGTGG